GGGAGTCATGTGAAAGAATATGACACAGAAGTCCTCCCATTGGGATCATATGGATGGGATGTTAATCTACACACACACATATGTGCACACACACAGTTCCCATTGTTTTGTGGCTTTTTTTTTTCCAAAAAAAAAAAAAAAAACGGAAATAAAAAGCCAGTTACTTGGGTGCCAGGGCTAGAATCTGGTGGTCTGAACCCCTTTTCAGTGCTCTTTCTGCTGCCACACATTGGGCCCTGCCCACCATCAATTTCCACGCAGTGACAGTGCGGACACTCAGAACCCTGTCCACCTGGATATCAGCAGCCCAGGGACACCTGTTCACATTACACAGGCTTCCAGACTGCAGAGACCCTGAGGACAAAAGCCGATCCTGTTGGAGACTATTTCTGCTGCAAAGACTCTGTGTCACAACCAGCAAAACAGGTTCTGGGTTGAAGAACTCTGCAATAGTTCTGCGAGAATCCGCCTGCAACGGACACTGCAAATCTGGAATTAATCCCCAAACCTCGTTTTAACTAATAGCTTTAACACCTTCCCTGGGAAAACGTTTTCCTATAATTTAATTAAATTAAATGATTAGAGTTTCATGTCTTTCCTTTCTTTCTGTTCATGCTAAATGAGAGGTAGAAATAAAATGTAAGTCAGCAATGAAAGAAAATGTATGCTTTGGAAAAATCCATAAGCCTTATCATCAGGTCTTGATTATAGATCTGTGGCAAGAATACCAAATACTGGATTGGTTTTTTTGGTTTTTGTTTTTTAAATAAATGCATCAAAACCTAAATATCCAAATAAAAACTATCCTTTAACATAATCATCTTGGGAAGACACACAGGTTTCTCCAATGATGCTGCCATGGCTTTAAAGCATATTTAGAAGGTCTCCTCTGATATGGCCGGCTCCAAAGATGATATATAAAACTTGGTGCCAAAAAAACCCTCATTCTTAATCCTCAGGTGGTATTATCCAGCTTGTTGATATGTATTCACATTTGGATCGAGGTGGTTTCTGATGTTTTGTTTTTTTTTTTAACATCTTGAAAGACCAAGATTTACCACTGTTGTGAGCATTCAGAAGAATGTCACAGATTCCCTCTTCAGCAGTGGGGACACAAATCAGTGCCTGGCCTGCTGCAGCTGCAGCACCATGAGGACCAGGCCAAAGGAGCCAGGGAGCCAGGGAATGCTGGTGGCCTTGCTTGCCCCATTCCTCTGAGCTCCGGGCAGAAAGACTGAACCTACCTACGGCTTCAACCTGCATTGTGTCACTACCCTCCTAAATGCTGAAAGGCAGTGAAGAGCTAATCTGCATATCAGTTGCCTGGGGGGCATAGTTGGGCATGAAAACTCAAATGTTCACCAGGGCTAGGCAGGGAAAATTCCAGAATGGAGAATGCTAGAGAAAGCCATAAAGAGCCCAGTACCTTATTAGAGTCACTCATCACCTTGCAAACACTAGGGCTTAATGGTTGCCAGAATCTTCAATTATCCAAGAGACTTAAAAACCTGGATTTTTAAAAATAATAATCTTCTGATTATTTAATGTGGGCCAAAAAATGTTAAAATTTTAAATAGAAGTACAAAAATGCATAACACACACATACATATATGCTTTCTGTGGACCATCTAAAGGCTACAGGCCACAAGTTTGTGTCCTCTGGACATACAAACTAAAATATCATGTGATACTGAAAGGGCCTGCTGCCCTGAAGCCTAGGAAAGATTTGTGTGCAGATGTTACCAATGGGAATTTGAAAGCAAATGCAACTATTCGTGACAGATAGGTCCACAACAGAAAGATCACAAACACTTCCACTGTGAGAGGGATGCCTTCTTGCTTTGTTGAAAACCTTGTTTTCAACAATCGTGCAATTTTGCCTTTTGTAGTCCGCTTATTATAAAATCAATGATATTTTAGAGAAATGCCTTAGGCTCCGCAGATTAAAAAAATCCTCTCAGCCTTTCTAATGAAGTAGATTTAACTTTTATGGTTTCTCTTTAAAAGCTCTTCAGTAACTAACACAGGAACAGGAAACCAAACACCTCATGTTCTCAGTCATAAGTGGGAGCTGAACAGTAAGAACACATGGACACGGAGGGGGTACATCACATCACCAGGGCCCGTGGAGGGGTGGGGGTCTAGGGAAGGGAGAGCCTTAGGACAAATACGTAATGCATGCAGGGCTTTTACTTCTTGCTTTGTTGAAAACCTAGATGATGGGTTGATAGGGGCAGCAAACCATCATGGTACATGTATATCTATGCAACAAACCTACACGTTCTGCACTTGTATCCAGGAACTTAAAGTAAAATAAAACATTAAGTGCTCTTCCGTAGTCTGGAGAAAAATATTTGGAACTTTTTTCATTACTTATTGATTAACCCAAACCTCAAACAATTGCTGCCACCAAGTAATAGTCACTTAAAATATTATTAATGAAGCTAAACAAATTTTGCAACATAAAACAATGCAATATAAAATATCCTCCACTGTCATTTTTCAAAGCATATGTGAGCTTAAACTTGTCTGCTCTGAGCAACATGGTTCATACACATGCATACTCACATGTACACCCACATGCACAGGCACACACATTTAGACAAGGAAAGTAAGCTTCTGCTTATGGTGAATGAGTGGTATGGAATGAACTGGGCTGGAAGGTCAACTCAACTCCACATTAACTATCTCATTGGTTTACTACAGAGCCTGAAGCTTCCATCATTAAACTGTCCCTTCTAGGTTAGGCATTTCTATAAAAGGTTCCTATTGAAGCAGAACAGTTAAAACATTCACCCACTAGCACTCATTATCACAGATTGCGTGATAATGAAAATTATGGTAATGATTACAGCTCATAGTTATAGCTTGCCTTAACATTTGTTTTGTTGTTGTTGTTCTTGTTGTTGTTGTTGGTGGTGGTGGTGGTGGTGGTATGTGTGTTTAAGACAGGGTCTTGCTCTGTTACTGAGGCTAGAGCACAGCGGCATGATCATGGTTCATTGCAGCCTTTACTGCCTGGGCTTGAGCAATCCTCCCACCTCTGCCTCCTGAGTAGCTAGGACTTCAGATGCATGCCACCCTGCCCAGCTAATTTTTATATTTTATTTTGTAGACATGGGGTCTCCCTACTTTACCCAGGTTACTCTTGAACTTCTGGCCTCAAGGATCCTCCCACCTTGGCCTCCCAAAGCGCTGGGATTACAGGCATCAGCCACCATGCCTGGTCCTTTAACACTGATAAGACACTTCCAGGTACATGACCCCATTTTCTTCCCAGGGACTCTGACATAGGCCCTGCCTCTCCCTGGTCACACTGTTGCTCAGTTACTGTTTCCCAGGCCTCCCCCCCAGAGCACTGGATCATCCATCGTGGTTTATGCCCTCAGCATGATGCTGGCTGCAGCAGAGACATTTGGAAATCTATGTGTTTGTCTGCATGCCAGAACCGAGGCCCAGAGAGGTCAGATAACTTGCTCAGGATGACTCAGTGGCCATACTAGACCTGTGCCATCACACAGACTGCCTCTTACTGATCAGGTCCAGCAGTCTAGCCTCTGAGAGAACAGGGAACGATGAGAAAGGGCAAGCATTGGTTGGAATAAGGAGGCACTAGGCAGGAATGTGGGAAAGGTGCAGATAGCCCTGAGCACAGGAGCACAGTGTTCTCAGGAGAGGGGAGGGGCAGGGAGAACGGGGCTCGGGTAGCCGAGGAGAGGGGAGGGGCAGGGAGAACGGGGCTCGGGTAGCCGAGGAGATTAACAAAGTGCCAAAAGCACATGGCTTGGGCAGGAAACTTTAAATGAAGGAGGAGTGGACCTTAGAGACACATTTGCCTACAGTTTTGTGTGGGACCAACCTTGCACCCCACGGCAAGGTCTGCTTCCTTTCTGGGAGGCACTGAGACTGAGCCACAGAAACTTCTCCAGGCTGTACGGGCACTCGATCACCATTTGCCCACTTGGGCTGCCTTTCTCAGGCCTATTCTACATTGTTTTATACTTGAGTGAAATGAGACACTGGGCAATTCTTCTTCTGTAGCCGTGCCTGCAAACTCCCAACCCATTTCCTTTCTCACCCAGCCTTCCCCCTGCTCTCAGACAATAAAGCATTGACCAGAGCAGTGTACATTGACCTTTTCATTTGCTTGAAGACAAACTCTTCTAACACCCTCCTAGATGGTCCAGAACTAAACCAAAAAACAAGCTTAGGTTTCATCTGGCACCTTCCCATGAGTGCAAAATAAGAATCAAGGATCAGAAGCGAAGGAACACAGAAAGGAGAGTGGGCATAGCAGAACGGTTTGGGGTTTTCATAAAATCAAAGAGACTCGTGGCCGGAAAGCAAATCTGCCTTCTTTTATCCAAACTGGTGCAATAGTAGACGTCTCTTCTCAGGGCTCACTTCACCACAGATTTTGCCTTTGTACTTCTTAACCATGTGTGCACCCCGAAAAACAGAAGAAGGTTAGTTAAGCAGCCAACATTAAACAAGTGGTTGAAGGTCACACTGGTGGCCACACTTCCGTCAGTAGAGCTCAGGGACCTGCAGCCTGCTTCCTGTATTCCATCCTTCAACCAGCTTAAGCCTGGAAGGGCTATGGGGTCAGCGGTCTGCCCAGTAGCTTCCCTACGAACACATCAGCTCTGAGCTCCTCCCTGTGTCTGGAGGAGGCTGCACGGAGAGGCCTTTGGGGAAATCTGCACTGCAGAGAGAAAAGGTTTTCTGGCCTCATCTTCCCAGCTGCAAGTGCTAAAATGAAGCCTGGGGCCTGAAGGATTTGGGTGGGACATGCAACTTGGCTCATTACATTCTACAGGAAGCCACAGAGGAGCACGCTCTTTTTTCTCCCTTACCCTCCGCAAAGGCAAAAGATGAAAGGTTCGTTTTCTTTTCAATACGAGGCTACCAATAGAGGCTTTTAAAAAAGAATAAACTGCAGAGGATGGGCACGTTATTAGGAGGTATGAACAATGAATCAATGCTATTTTGTCACTCACCTTCGCCTCTTCATTCACGTCCCAGGTAAAGGAAACAGCATTATACGCAATCTCTTCGATGTTTCCAATCGTATTAAAGCTCTCCTTGTAATCAGCTGTAACATTAAAAAAAAGAAGCTTTTAAAGCAGTAAGAGTGACTCGGTGACATGTACTGAACCATCATTTTCCAATGGGTAAATTTAAACTTTGCTTATTTTTCTAGCTATCTCCATGCTAACAGTTAAGGATTGGTGCTCACTTATGTTCTTTTACTAATACTTACTCTGTAAGAATGTAAGCGTGTTCCTCTTTTAAAAGAGTAAAACTAAGCAAACCAATGTTCTTAGCTAATTTGTTCATTAGTTTCATATTTTACTAGTTTTATAAAATTATTAAGGTTTTCTCTTTTCTTCCAAGCCCCATGTCACCTACCCACTCTCCCTCCTGCTCACTTTTCTGCCACTTAATTTTGCTAGAAGTACCAGGGTACTCCATACAGAATTTTTTGTAGAACAGAATATTCTGTTTATCAGCCAGGCAGTGTCATCAGGACTTTAGTTTAAAAAAAAAAAAAAAAAATTTCAGGAGACCACAGTAAAGTTTTTTAAAAATTTCTTTTTAGGGCCAGGTGTGGTGGCTCACATCTGTAATCCCAGAACTTTGGGAGGCCGAGATGGGAGGATCACCTGAGGTCAGGAGTTTGAGACCAGCCTGGCTAACATGGTGAAACCCTGTCTCTACTGAAAATACAAAAATTAGCCGGGCATGGTGGCACGTGCCTGTAATCCTAGCTACTTAGGAGGCTGAGGCACAAGAATCGCTTGATTTTCTTGCCTGGAAGGCGGAGGTTGCAGTGAGCCAAGATCGTGCCACTGCACTCCAGCCTGGGTGACAGAGTGAGACTCCATCTCAAAAAAAAATCTTTTTGGACTTAGCTATGGACAGTTGAGTTAATCATACTTAGTTCACTATAAACATTGGTCTGTTCAAGGCCCTCTCTTATTTTACGACTTTATTTGGTTACTATATATTTCTTTTTCTTCCTATTATCCTTCCCACAAATGCAATAGCTATAAATATGTTAACATATATCCTTATGGAATATATTGGTTTGATTTGCCTGTGTACATAGCTTTAATTATCATAAATTCTGTCGTTCTATGACTAAAGTTGCCAGATTGGGCAAATATTTGGGATATACTTATCTTCAAAATGTATTCATTATTTATAAGAAATTCAAATTTAACTAGCACCCTGTATTTTATCTGGCAATCCACACTAGACCTTTTCAGATCTAACCTTAGTGCTAGTTGCATGCCTGTTTCTAACTGTAGCTGCAGGGACCGTCGACCACAGTTTACTTATCCCCCATCCCAGAGATGGACCCTTCAGTGGTCTCTGCTCTCTGGTACAGACAACTCTGTGATAAAAATTCATATTCCTGGGAGCTGAACCGATGGCTGATCACATAAAAAGCTCCTAAATGTGCTCTTCAGGACAGCCCTCCAGACTCAGTCTCCAGGATGGATGAGCCAGTGCAGCCTCCCACCAGAACTCTATTTCCCTCTTTGTCCCGACTTTCTTGCCAATCTGATGAGCACAAGGCAGCATTTCACTGACAATATATTCGCACTTCTTCTACCACTTTTAAGTTGCAACATCTCTTCTCACACAGGATAGCCAACCAGGTGTCTCCTTACGGAGACTGCTTACTAATGTCCTTTGCCGTGCTTCTGTGGTTTCCTCCATGGAAATTTTAAAGCCAAACTACATGTTTACATTTTAAATAAAGCACACACTTCAATATAAAAGCATGTGTGGCCACCACAGGAGAGTCAGAGATCATGAACAAATAAGAAAAATATTTAAAGGCAACCACAATCTTCTTATCCACAAATAACCAACTATAAACACATCTGTGGTACACTTTATCCTTCCTATCTTTCTCTCTGCTTCCCTTTCTCAAAAATATGTAAACATTTTATACAATACTATAACAGTTATTTCTTAATGTATTTATTTTTGCCTAACACATCATCATGTGCATAACACAACACATTTTGCCTAACACATTGACATCTTCCCATGTCAATAAACTGGTATAAAATTACTTTTAATGGCCAAATACCACTAAATTGAATTATGTGCCACGACTTTATTTTGCTTGTCTCAGCCAGATGATGTCCAATACTTTTCTATTTCAAATAAGGTTTTATTTAATTATCTTTACAGCTAAAAATGCATATACGCTTAATTGTATTTCATTAATATATATTCTCCGAAGTGAAAGTAGCAGGTCAAAGAAAAAAAAAATTTAAGGCTTTTAATTCATTTTGTCGAAGTGTTCCTGCAAAAGTTGAAACAGTTGATGTTCACAGCAACAGTACACGTGTTGTTGTTTCCTCAAAATGTTGCTTTCCAAACTGATATGCAAAACATGGTGACTCATTAATTTAATTTGTAATTTATTGATTGCAAAGGAGGTTGAACCAGCTTTCATTTTGTTTTTGACTCTCTGTATTTATTTTTTTCTCTTTGTTTCATTTATTTATTTTTTTTATTTTTTTATTTTTTGAGACAGAGTCTCACTCTGTCACCCAGGCTGGAATGCAGTGGCGCGATCTCGGCTCACTGCAAGAGCTGCCTCCCGGGTTCAAGTGATTCTCCTGCCTCAGCCTCCCGAGTGGCTGAGACTACAGGCACCTGCCACCACGCCTGGCTAATTTTTTGTGTTTTTAGTAGAGACGGGGTTTCACCGTGTTAGCCAGGATGGTCTCGATCTCCTGACCTCATGATCCACCCACTTCGGCCTCCCAAAGTGCTAGGATTACAGGCATGAGCCATTGAACGCGGCCCTTCTCTTTGTTTTAAAAATGTATTTATTTATTACAACACTTCCTGCTCTGTTCTTTGCGTATTTTTTTCTTAGGATATTCAGTTTTCTTACTGATTTTGAAATAAATAGTTAAAGCTAAAAGAGAAAACAAAAAGCAAAGAAAAAAAATTTTATATCTTTCAAATTTAGAACAAGGTTATACGACTATACTTGAGATGATTTTAAATATAAACCTGTGCTTCCAGCAGGCCAGCCAAACTCTTAAAATTTTGAAGAGAAAAAAAGACCATTGAATTTAGACCAACTGAAGTCCTTGATTCTTTATAGCTAATTATTCTAAAAGATAGTCTTGCAACTTTGAAGTTTTAAATACACATTTAAAAATAAGCAGCTTTTAGGTGAATTGTAAAAAAGAAAGCAAATGTTATATCTAGAAATAAAGACAAACCAAGAAAATTTGGTCAAACATGTATCCTAGCTCTCATGAGTTACAACATTATGAGGTTTTATTTCCCATAGCTTCTCCACATAAAAAATGTCTTCCATAAAAAGCATATTAGCTCAAATAAGGAAAGAATTTCAAAAACAAATGCAATATAGATCCAAATAAAATACTCTAATCTTGTTCAAGGTCCCTGTCAGTTTCTATCACCTTCACTTAATCAACAAATGTATTGAGGAAATATTTACCATGAGCCCTCTATGTGCCAGGCAGTGTCCTCATGCTTGAGAAACAGCAAGAAACAAAACTAGGTCCCTGATCTTTTGGCTCTTTCAGTCCCAGAGACAGAATATAGATAAGTATATAGATAAATAAATGAACAAGACAATTATCCTTAATCTGCTTTTTTATGCCCAAAACAAAAGGATAGTAAGACTACTTGTTATTGAGTGGTTCCATTACCTTGTATATGTCCTTCATGGCATGTACAAGTATTTTATTTATTAGTTTACTATTTATCACCAGCATTTCTCATTAGTTGTATATGTTATATGAGGGCAAGGAACTTATCTTAAATACTGCTGCTTTCTCAGTGCGTAATATCATACTCATAGGATGTGCTCCATAAGTTTGTTCAGTGAATGAATGGACGGATCCTTAGGCATTCTAAACAAGCAAGATAACTAAGAGACTAATGTCATGTACTCCTCTCCAGCCTTATACCATACAAGAAATGTCTGCTCATCTCCACCCTTTGTGTTCAGTCTCTACAGGTGGTACAATAGCTTTGCTCCCACTTCACGACTGTCAAAGTCTTCCAAGAGACTAAACAGCTGATGCAAACCGATGTGACTTCGTCCACATGCATAGTTGTCTGACAAATAAAATGCTAATAGTTGTGCCTCCGGTTTCTGAAAGCTGGGTGAATGTCCTTTGGTGAGTGTTGTATGCTTAAGAGTTTATGGCCCACGGTAGGAATGGAAACTCAGTGACCTGGTGCTGAGCCTTCCTCAACTTATTTTCTCAAGAAAGTTTCTCAAACCCAAATGTTGTCAATTTTGACAGCTATAGTCAGGAAAAGGCATAGTCATGAGCTGCTCTGCCAGTTTCCTTGAGCTGTCATCACTAATCACCATAAACATGGTGGCTTTGAACAACAGGAATATTTTTGCTCATAGTTCCAGAGGCCAGGAGTTTGAAATCAAGCTGTGCCATGCCAGCAGTGTGTCACTCCAATCTCTGCTTCTGTCTTCACATGGCCTTCTCTTCTGTGTCTCTGCATCTGTTCCCCATTCTCTCTCTCTGTCTCTCTCTATTTTATTTACTTATTTATTTTGATACAGACTCTTGCTCTTATTACCCAGTCTGGAATGCAATGGCTCACTGCAGTCTTTGCCTCCCGGGTTCAAATGATTCTTCTGCTTCAGCCTCCCCAGCAGCTGGGATTACAGGCACCTGCCACCACGCCTGGCTAATTTTTTTGACATTTTTAGTAGAGATGAGGTTTCACCATGTTGGCCAGGCTGATCTTGAACTCCTGACCTCAGGTGATCTGCCTGCCTCAGTCTCCCAAAGTGCTGGGATTACAAGTGTGAGCCACCGTGCCCAGACTGTTCCCCCTTCTAAGGATTTGTCATTGGATGTAGGGCCCACCTTAATCCAGAGTGATCTCATCTTGAGATCCTTAATCACAATCTGCAAAGGTCTTTTTCCCAAATAAGGTCATATTTACAGGTTCTGGGAGTTAGGACGAGGACATATCATTTTCGAGGGTCCCTCTCTACCTCCTACATCTGGGATTCCTTCCTGTGATTAGAACTCATGTGACCTGAGTGAA